TTTTTTTTTTTTGCAGAACACCAGTTGTATTAGAAAACCGCAGGTCATCTCAGGAAGGAGGGGGGGTGCACACCCCCTGCACCCTCCCCCTATATCCGCCCCTGGAAAGGTCGAAGCAATGGCCAAAATGGAGCTTGAATTTATCTTTTTGGAACATAGTATCAGTTTTCTTAGCTTTTTTTGGAACCACATCACTGATATTCAGTTTCACACTACGATAGTGCCGATAACAATTTAAAATGTTTCCTCCAGCCGTCACTACACGTAGTGGACAATTGTTAGAGTTATCTATAAAGAGTGATGAAATTCTGAAATTTGCAATTTGTAGTCATTCTTTTCCTTGTCGTCCCTTTGCTGTGTTTTCAGACACATCTTTGCGACTTTTTCCATGCGTAAGGACAGGATCAAAGAGTGCTTCACATGCTGACTATATCATGACTTGTGAAAATGAAATCTTATTATCCGTGAACCGTGACTAGTCATTTTCGTGGTCCGTGAACCGTACCCGTGGACCCCCCCTCTTAACCCTTTAAATCTTAATATCAAAATTGAGATTGTCATTTATTGCCCCTAAACTTTTTCAATAGAAGAAGTGGAGAGAATTTGTTGAAATATCAACTAGAGTCATCTTCCCTGATCATGTACTCAATTGTCATGACCAATCTGTTTTCTAAAGCATTGATATTATAAGGAGAAATTTCATGCTGATCACCCTTAGTGCTTAAAGGCTTAAATTTGAAAGAAACCATGCGTGATAAAATGTAAAAAAAAAAAAGAAAAAGCGAACTCTATCATATGATGCTCCGTGCAGAAGAATTCCATTATTCCTGTGCACTATCCGTAGGATCGTCCGAGTCTTAATTATTGACATTCATAGCTAGAAAAAAATCAAGCGACAAGTTATGGTTTAGGTATCAATCAGGTAGAATCAGCCAGATTCTTACAAGTTCATATAGACGTAAATATTAAGTCGCTTTTGAAGAAGCAAAACTTTCTGGTATACCTTGTCGAGCAAGGCATTATCTACCTCGCGTTGTTATGCGGGGTCTATATTACGCATTTATCTCTCCCTACTAAGTTATGGTAACATTGTATGGGGAAATACGTACACAACAAGACAAGAACCAAAAAGAAGGCTACAAAAAAGTTACGGTATAAGGATCATTACTTTTTTAAATTAAAAAAAAACATACTGGTCCTATCTTCAAACAACTATCGATTTTACCTTAAGATGATATAGACAATGAAGCCATTGCTTTTTTTGCCCACGTTTCGATACTTCAATAACAATATACCATCATCTTTTCCATGATTTGTTTTGTCTGAATAAAGATGTTCATCAATACAACACAAGATCGTCCTCTGATGTTCACGAATATCAAGCAAGAACTAACTACCAATTAAAACACTCGATTTATTGAGGAGAAAAATTAACACTGATTTTCTCCACAAGCAAGAAAACTAGAATTTCAGTATACAAACGTATTTACATAAATGATTAGTCTTAGTCACTTCTCCTCGTAACACAGCCATATCCTTTTTATATTCTTAAAATAAATCATTGCAGTAAACTTGTTCAGGGGCTCCCCTCGTAAAGCCCAGGTATAATATTATCTTTTAAATATTATTCTGCATGTAATAAGCATATGAAAGGGTGAATAAATGAAATGAATGTGTCGCACTCTTCCTCACCCTCTTTAACCTCTGCTTTATCTACTGCTTACCTCTGAATGTGTTCGCACTATCCTCGCGTGACATAGAAGTCATTGCTCTTGTAGCTGAAGGAACAGACAGCTTATCGACTGCAGATCGGCTGATCGAGTCAGGGTCTCCAAAGTCGGTCTCCAATGTAAACATTGTTTAGTCTCTTGCCTCACACTCGGGACTCTGTCGCACAGCTTTTCCATTGCTTGATCCCCAATCAATCTTGAGTTTTGTTTTCTGTCTGTTAAGCTGCCTAATTACCTTAAGATGTTCCAGTCTCTGGAAAACGCTTCATTACCTTCTTTTTTTTTCTCTAGACGAAAGAATTTGAGCTCAAAACTTCGGCCAAGGCCACGTTTCTTAGCCTCTGCCTTTTATCCCACAAATCCTTCGAGTTTTCTAAAGATTACCTGAGAGGAGTGTTTGCTAGTAAAAGAAAAAACGAGTTCTGTCCGGCTTTCCAAGTAAAGGCATTGAACCCACTGAATTTAAGTCAACGTAAAATATTACGCATTCAGTTGGAAATATATCTGATTACCCGTTTACCCTGCCATGTTAACAATGACAATGATCTCCAATTTGCGCGATCAATTACTCGACGGACTTGGAGAATCTTCCAATATTTACGAAGTATCCAAGAAGAATAGTGAGGACCATGTAAGAGTTATGCAAGATAGGTTTACGTTATTCTTACGACACTTGTCTCGTTTGCTAATTCATGGTCTTTTGGAGGTCGGGAAACTGAAATCAGGAGAAAAATCGACGTAATGAAATCATGATTATCGATTCTCAATTTGAATAAGGAATAATTATTCAAACTCACGATTCACGAAAAAGAAAAACGGCTCTAGTAATCACGCATCACGAAAATACCCCTGTACGATCATAAAAACGGAAAACATGGTTAAAAAAACATTAAACGGAAGACATGGTTAGTGACGCAAAAACAATGCACGCTTTTGACCGCAATCCATTCTCTCTAACCTAGTGGGGGTATGTTTGCTTCTATTTGACAAGAAAGCCACACTTTTTCGATGATGTCACCCCTAAAAAGTATCTTATCTGTTTTTTGGCAGTAATTTTTTCGCATGTTTCAGTGCCTTTTTCACATTGCCGTTCAGTTTTTTCCAGGGTCATGGTATAGTCCGCTCCTATACATTGGCAGGCCAGTACGCTAAGGAAGCAGTTAAACATCATCGCCCCACAGAGATACACTGGTCAAAATCACACAGGAAGTTTTAGTACCAAGAAAGCAGCTTTCTGCAACGTCTACCACTGCCGCACGCCTCTCTATGTTAACAAACAACTTACGCACGGGCATTCTTTGATAACTATATATTTTACTTATGATTTTCCAACTCATACTTTCAAAGTCTATAAAGGGTTACTTACCCGGCACCACAGTCTCATAGTTTCTTTAGTCTAGTGTGGACATCCTGCTGGAATAAATCTCTCAGAACTCCCTGATAAACATGATTTTTCATGTAGCACATTATAGGGCCCGCCTGTCATTTTCTGTAAAAAATATTGTCATTTATTAAAAAGTATCTTAAAATTTTAATAAACAATATTTGAAAATGAAACTTTGCTAGTATTGCTCATCCGATTTAACACATAAAATCTCAACTAAATTTAGAGTTACAAGAGATACAGAAGGGGTCAGGGCTACGCACTAAATAAAATATAGCGGGGTTGTGTATCCGCACATACAAGCAAACGTGAACCGAAAAAAACGCCTTCCCCTTTGTTTGGTTATATACCGTATTTATTCGATTAACCGCCCTGGGCGCTTATTAAATTTTTGGACCTTGAGAGTGGGCGCTTATTCGAGGTGGGCGTTTATTCGAGGCTGGGCGCTTATTAAATTTTCACCATTCTCAGCAAGTGTAGTAGTATATTTTGCAACAAAACAGTAAATGGTACCAACAAAAAGTGAAGATGTAGCAAAGCAAGGTTTCTGTAAAATACTCTGAAGAAAACTCCGTCTTCAGGAGGGTCTCTTATTATCTCTTATTGGCGTTATTGTGAGAGGGAGTGGGGTGGGGTGGGCGCTTATTCGAGGCTGGGCACT